GAAATTTATTATAGCATGAGCTAAAAAAAATTATTTTTCATAAATACAATTCCTTTTAATTGAGGGAGTCTGCTAATTTTTTATTTTTTAAAAATATATTTTTTATATTAATTAATAATTAAAAGTATAATTGGCGGGGGCCTTGGCCCCCTTTCGGCTCGGCCCCTGCCAGGATGGGCACATACCCAGTCTGGATATGTTTTGCATCTGTCATTACTTATAAAGACTCAATCATTTGATAACAATATTCAAGTAATTTGTAGTATCTAGTGTTCGAATTTAAGATTTTTAAGAATAATAATCATTTCTTTAACCATTATTGGTTTGTACTATTTGTCTTATATTTTTAGGCTTAATACACTTTTAGGTGTCTAAACTATAATTCAAATTAATTTTTGGTGCCTAAAGATTTTTTTTGCTAAAAATAAAACATTATATTTTTAGGTGCCTAGAATGTAACAAAAACAATTATCTGATACATGTCATGCATATAATATTTAAAAAAAATTAAAATACACTTTTAGGTGCCTAAACTATATCTCAATTTGATTTTGGTGCCTAAAGAATTTTTCATTAAAAATAATTGTCTAACGTTTTCTCCTTTACACTTTTAGGTGCATATCGTTAAATTTTTATTTTTTAATAATAAAAATATTATTTTAAAAAATCAAACCCTCCCATGCGTCTTCCCTCTCCCTCCCATCCCCTACCTTCGACACGACGAAGGATCACCATCGACTGAGTTTTATTCGGAGCAGGACGAGGAGCTCAATGGTGGTAGCTGTGTAACGTACGGCCAGTTGTAGTCGTGAAATCGTCAAAAAACAGCTAAGGAAAACTTAGAAAATCGATGACCCCTTATAGATGTTTTTACGATGATCGGCGCAGTTTCATGATGGGTGGAGGACTGTGTTTTGATCCCGACAACGAGACGATTCTGATGGTGTCAACGGTGACTACGGACCGACGGTGACCGATAGCGATGAAATTTAAGTTTTTTTAATTATAGTATTATTTTTTAAATTTTATATGCATGACATGTGTCAGATAATAGTTAAATTTAAATGTCGTTATGGTCCAGACACCTAAAAGAGTAACGTTGAAAACGTTATACACCTATTTTTAGAGAAAAATTCTTCAGGTACTAAAAGTCAATTTGAGATATAATTTACGCACCTCAAAGTATATTAAACTTTTTAAAAAATAAAAAAAATATAATAATAGACACCTCAAAATATAATGAAAAAAATGTTATGTATCTATTTTTAACAAAAAATAAATAAATACCAAAAATCAATTTAAAAAGTGTATTAAACCTATATTCTTATTGCCGATAAGCTTCGATGTTGACATATTTGACGTGCTAAATATAAAGAGCCACAAGTTTATAATCTTCGTTTGTGTATATCACTAAGGAAGTTATACAGGTGTGTAGAAACATTTCATTCTAGTAGTAATCATACGCAGCGTGACATTATCAATTATTTCATTTTTGTAACATCTTAAATCGGTACGACACACAGTTGATTGATTAGGATATTACATGGAAACACCAGAGTGATTAACCAACTCTTTCTCACTTCTTTTACTTTAAAAAACCATTCTCATAAGAAAAGTTACTATAAAGATATAATTAAAACCGCACTCTGAAGAGCTCCCAAAATAAATATTTACATTCAAAAATAATAATACATATCGACTTTAAAATACATTTACTACTCAATTTTACAACATGGTTTATAAATATACATGCCCTTCAAAACGTTGAGACATACTCTGATCTACTCCTGGTCTGGACCTCGGTCACTTTAAGTCTCCTCAACATGTTCACCTAATTTGCGTAAGGAAACAACTTTCAAAATGCTGAGCTAACTAGTTCAGTGTCACACTAACAACTAAATCATACTAATTGTATATCACTGAAAGGCTCAAGCTATCAACTCCACTGTTTTTCTTTAGTGAGTATACTTGTATACTCAATGTCTACTCTATGGTAGACATCATGGTGTTGCTGAGGGTTCTGTATTTCGGAGCTCACACACACCTCTAGTCTACCGAGGATGAGGCCCCCATAATCTCTGCATCGGACACCAAACCCTTGACTAACTCACCCCTTGTGAGTGTTTGGCCTTGGCCTTAGTTAGTTAGCTTAAAGTGCCTCGCGCAATCCCTAAGGATATATCTGGACTAAATCTATACTTGCGACCCCGCTAACTTTTCCTGAAATAACTCGGGTGTCCTGATCGTTTCCCGACCATACAAACAATGCTAGTCTTATTTCACCCTACTTTATCTCGTTTCTACGTTTGAATTAAACATTATTTTTGTTCTCACTTGTAGTCTTATTTGACAGTAATTATAATTTTTTGGGAAACCTCACTTGCTTCTATGATTCCTCTTGATTTTTTTAAAATCCAAAACTTAAGTTTGGTATCGATACTGACCTTACAATATCGATACCCTCTCCTCAGTATTGATTCTCTACCTAAGATATCGAAACCCCAACTGAAATGCCTTGAAAAAATAAGGGGAGTATCGATACTCATATAGGAGTATCGATACTAGGACCTTGGGTATCGATACTCCCTAGGGTACAGATACCAAAATGGCATACTGAAATTCCACTTTCAATACTAAGCCCGTCAGTCTCGATAACGAACCCTCATTATCGATACTACTTTATGAGGTATGGATAATGCTTTTAAAAACTATTGATTTTATGTCTGAGACATGAACAATATCGATACTTACCCTTAAACATGCCTTATTTAGGCACAAATTAATCCTTTAAACTCCCTAAATTTACTACTTTGAGGTTTCATACTTGTTATTAAGTCTTATGTGATTCATATGGGTCATAAATAAGGTTTTAAACATGCTATAATAACTTTAATAAGAAATCTACCATGTAAATTTACTTAACATGCTTAAATCTTAACTTTCTACCTAAAATTCATTTCTAATGATCTACAATTGGTATAAGGAAGTTGTGAGTGAGTTACCTGACTTTCTTGGCTACTAGAATCCCTCTCTACTCAGCTAAGACTCACTTTTTCTTTCCCCCTTGCCTTTAAACTTTCTCCCACTTTCTTAGCTAAACAAGGGTAAGAAAAGAGATTATTATTTATCTAAGGCTTAAAACAAGACTATGGATACTCCAAACAACTCAAATTTAATAGAATAAACTTGAATTCTTTGAATTCCTTAACCTCCCTAAAAACCCATTTTCTGAAACCTTATCCAAAACTTATGATTTGGGACTTGAAATGAAGCCCAAGGGATGAAGATTAGGATTCTTAACTTGGTTGCTTCAACTAGACTTGAAAATCTCAAAAAACTTCTACCTTTGGTTGGCTTTTGGAGAGAAAAAGAAGGAAGAATAGATGAGGAAATGAAGAGTTCTTGGGAAGCTTGGGTTTCACGTAAAGCCTCTTAAAATAAGGGGTTTCTATCCGTTAAAACAAGAATTGGGTAAACTACAATTTTGGTCCATCGCCTTTAAAACCCAACTTAAAACCACCACTTAGTTTTACCTCTTGCGCCCACCTTGAGCCCAATACCCTCATACTATAGTCTAAACTGGTTTAGAAAAACTAATGGACTCAACTTATAAGTCTCGTGTTGACCTGAACTACTGACCCGAGATTCGAGGTATTACAATTTTTACTCAAATAACACCTAAAGAAATTAATGATATAATATTAAAATATACTTCAAATCTTTGATAGGATAATTATTTTATTTTTATTATTTTTTCTTAAGTATTTTATCTTTCGCATTTTAATCTTTTACATTTCACTTTGAGATACTTTAATATCTAATTGAATAAGAATCATTGATTAACTATTAATGTTTGATACAAACAATATTGTGTTCAAAATAATAATATGACATACTCATGGTATCACTTATGCATAAGCGACATATATCACATCATCATTTATGTTTATGTAACATGTATCGCATCATATTATTTTTCCCATTTAGAGATAATACTAATCTAGTTTTCTCTCATTGATGTGTGTTCATCTCTTTTTTTTTTGTCTTTATTGATTGAGGACGACATCAACTTTAATATTAATTGTCAACCTCCAATATTTTTTATTGTCTTTTTCTTCTCATTAATGTTTGTTACACATTTTCATCTGTCTTTCTAACACGTTTTTTTTTTATATTTTTAGCATATTTTTCGATTCTTTAGTCGTTTTTCGTTTATCCTTTTTCTAAAGATTGATTTGACATCGTCACGAATGATCAAGATGACATTTATCTTATATATTGTTAATCTTCCCTGCTTTAGACTCTCATATTGAACTTGAATACTCGACTTACGCTTGTGGATAACTTTTCATGTCACTTGAGTCTAATTTACAATTTGTCAATAATCTTTCAATAACTTGATCCCTTTTGTAATTCATTTACTAATACGATCATATTTTCTTATATTTATCTTTGTTTGAGTTTCTTAATTAAATTTAATCTTTCCTTGTATGATCTTTATATATTTTAAATTGCTAATTTTATTTCAATAATTATAATTTTTTCTAATTATGTACTTAGTTTACTAGTTGTTAACTTCTATTGTAATTTTAGACATTTCTTATTTTGAATAAAATTTACTTCTATAAAAAAAATGTATCATATTTTCACTTTAAACATAAGACTTGCTATATTTGCAGATACTAACTTGTCAACTAAGTTTTCTTTTATCCATATGATATTTTACCTCAAAATGAAACATCAAGAATTAAATTGCTAAAAAATAAGTTAAAGTGATTATTCGATCAAATACTAGTGATAAAGATGTTTAAATTTAGCCATTAACATGTAGTTGCCAAGCACCACCTTCGCAAAAGCTTGTTCTCTCTGGCTGTTTTGACTGTTGGATGACCATAGAATCATATTGTTTTAAATCATCTTAGAAACCTATAATGATATGGAAGATGCAGAGTGATAAAAAAACATGATCATGCAACTCATAAAAGATGTATGGCCATGCATAATGAAAACTTGTCATGTACGTAACCTTAAATTATTTAGAATTACAAAGTCAAAAACTAAACGAGTAGATATTAAACCTAAGGGAATGTTCCATGTGCTGGTCTTATATGTCTGGATGATGAACGTTATTAGGTTGATTATCCAATGGCATGTATTGTGCCATAATAGCCCTAATCTCCGAATCCATGTATCTCTGCATCAAGTTCAATAAGTCGGTTGAGTTCTAAATAATTTTGCCGACACTCCAAATATTATTAATATTAGTGGAATGACAATCTTACCCGGATTCTGTACTTGTAAATGGCGTATCCTGCACCTCCAGCAGCGATCAGTCCGAGAATTATTACCCACACGGACCCCCAGCCTACCTCTGTTCTACCGTTCTTGCCTGAAAATGAATATCCGTTAGAGGGGTGTTTTGATCCTGAATAAATCGAAATCATGTTGATATGTTGCCAATCTCCAGATCACAGCATGCCTCGAAGATACTTACTGATACACATGTCATGCTCTTGCATGTACAACGAACCACCGCTACAGCTGCACTCGTAGCTTCCCCAGGTATTTTTGCATTTGCACCCAGAACATTGGCATGCCAGCTTCTCCTTGCACTCATCAACATCTGGGAAACATTCCGATGTAAGAAACAATTAACCAACAGAGATATAAATGATATAAAGCTTGAAGTTTTGCCCCAAAATCTAAGTCCACGGTGTCTCGGTAAAAACACAAAATGTGATGGCTGAAATAATAGCTAAGCATCTTCCAATTCACGTGCGACCGGTGTGTTTATAATGACTTGATATTATACGAAGAAATCAGGTAGAAATATCATATACCTTCACAGCCCTTGACTCCATCACCCTTGAATCCATATGGGCACTTGCAACCATGTGAATGGTCATCCTGAACATTACATTCCAGAATCAAATACGTAAGCAACCTGGAAAAAGATAAACAGATAAAACAAAAAAGAGATGGCCGGAGAGGCACTCACAATACAAGCAGAGTATGTCCTTCCTTCCCGTGTTTCTCTCCAACATCCTCCGTTGTTGAATTGACAACGTAAAGCCGAAGAAGCTGTTAATCAGAAAAGCGGATAGAACTAAGCATAAAGGAGCCGCAAGATGCAAATTTTGTTTTAGCATTGATTATAACCCTCAAGCATAACGACCAATACTGTCCATGAAAATATTTACCTTCACAATGTGTATAACCATCTCCAGTAAACTTCACCCCATTAACTGTTGGGCACTCGCACACTCTTCCCCGGAAGGTATCCTACAAGTAAAAGAGGGGCATCAACAAAAAGGTTTAATCGAACACATAGCTGACGAACAAAAATTTCCTGTTGCATACCCTGCATGCGGTAATATTAACAATCTTGTCGTGCCAGCAGCCACCATTGTTTTCTAAGCACTCATTAGTTTCGATTTCTGCCAAGGACAACTTGTAACGAAATAATGAATATCATCTCTACGATAATCTCTACCCAAAAAATATAAATTTATAACTTAAATAGCATGGGGGGAAACGGTGGTGGTTAATGCCAGAAAATCCAAATGTTTCAAAGCAAATCACAAGAAGAAAAAAAATGCCTCTAAATTAAAGAGCAACAGGTGATAACCTTCACTTAAACAAACTGCTGGCTCTTTTGTCTCTTGAAAACCTGCACAAATTGCATTGAGAACAGCCCCTCTGTCCAACTTCCCTAAATCCATCAGAATTGATATTGTTAAAAAAGCAATGCAATCAGATTCCCAGCAATGACAGTAAATTCTGATTCAAACCTCTATACTGTCTGTTATTTATCACAAGAGTTGGCAGTATAGTTACATCTCCACGGGGGCCTTTTCCAATCTAAAATAAGAATTACATCATAAATGAGAAACTCGATGAAAAGAAATGGCAACAATGGGATTGCGGGAATTCTTTTAACTTATAAAGTTCAAGAACTGTCTGACCTGTGCATCTTGCTCAGCTTTCAGAACTGGGTTCTCCACATCGGCCTCAGTGTCACCAATACATTTGTCTACTTTATTGAGATCAACGCCTATAAAGCAGAGAATGGAATGCAAATACATAAGTACACCTCTCGGAAGAAAAAATATGAACTTGTTTTAATCCATACTTAACAGATGATTTGAGTAATCAACATTTCCAGTGGCAAATAAGAATTTGTTTGTTTTTCTAGAACCCTATAAAACCACATAGTTGTATATACGAGTAGATACACATGTAAATGCATATAAAGTCATCAGTACTACAACAAATAACCCATTTCCATTAACTTTTAGGGAACATAGAGGAGAAAAATTACGTGCAATTAACAGGAAGAAAAACTACTTACTGCTTATCCCTAGTAAAAGGAGACTAATTCAATGGTCTTACTCCATATTCGAAGAAATAAAATCAATCAAACCTCAAACAGTATAGCTGCAGCAATGTTGTGAATGGCCCATTTTAAGACTCATATATAAAGAGCATTGTGTATAAAGCATTAACCTACCAAGAGATCGGATAACTTTATCCGCACACTCTTTGTTATACTTCTGATCTTTCATCGGGCAGCGGATAGAGAAGTCCGTGACATAATCCCACCAAAGCCATGGCTTTCCACTTTCATTAGCAACTCTGAAAACGCAAACTTGGCGAAGATTTTGAACCACCACATCTTTACCATCATAACCTTTGCTGAAGTCTTGCTCAGGATCCGGAGCACAGTACCTCCCATGATTGATACACTGCGACTTGCACTGCTTGCTCAAAATAAAAGCTTCCGGGCAATACCAAGTTATATAGTGCGGGGTAAACAGGGTGTAGCCTTTCTGCTCGAGAATTTGAGCAGCTCCTTTGAAGCTCTTGACAAATTCAATCTGGCTGTCACACTTTGGCCCGCACTCGTCGTTGCTATTAGTCCAGAACTCGTACTCAACCCGCTCGTCGGGATGAGGAAGAGCCTCCCTCCAGTCGAGATTCATATTAACCATTTCCCCACCATTGACGGCTTTCTTGAGGCTGTCCCCTAGTGATTTACTAATGAGGGCCGATGGAATGGTGATCTTCTGCAGGTATTCGGCATTAGCATTCTCTTCTTCAGGGGTATCCATGGTAATCAAGGGCTCATTCTTGTTATCAGCAACAAGAATAGCAGCGGCCCCAGCTTTCTGAGCATTCCATGCCTTCAAGGTGAAGAAACAATCTGAAAGAACAGCAAAGTCAAAGATGATAAATCAGGCAAACTCAAAATAAACCCCAAAAACCTACAAGTTCAAATCAATAAATTAGGCAACTCTAAATTTAGCAAACATCAACTACCAGCATAATTTTATTTGGTGTAAAAACTCATAAACACAAAGGAAAATTCACTTAGCTAACACTAATCATATTTACAAAGATAAAAAAGTAAGAAAAATTCCAATATAGTTGAAATAATTTACTTCCAAAATTGGATTATCCATCTAAAATAAAAATAAAAAAGGCGTACATACCTCCACGATCAACGAGGAGAAAAGTGGGAAGTCCACCAGGCTTAGATTTGAAGGAGATGTCCAAATCATCGAAGGACTTGCATGCGCCTTGATTGGCTTTAGGATAAACAACGGTGCCGACCAAGGTTCCGCCGTACTGAGGAACCCCAAAATTCCCGATCGCACACTCATAAACCCCTTTGATCGACTCCGGCGAAGTCACCTTCAAGCTGTTCTTCTCCACTACAAACCTCCCCAAGCAATTCCCAGACAACAAAACCCACAAGCAAGCTAAAAACCAGAACTTTTCCCTCATTTTTCCCGGACCCAAGATTAGAAAAACTTAACTAACAATAAACCAAGATGGGGAATATTTTTGAATCAATAACCAAGCACAAAAGACACCTCTTTTTGCTCACCGGGTTTCCGTGTCCTTCCCGGGAGCTGGAAGTTTATAGCGATGAGGCGTTTGTTTGGTTCGTGGGGAAAAAAAAGGAAGATTTGGAAGGAAGTCGTTTGCTTTTTCAAAGCTCAGTGAAAAAAGGTTGTGCATTGGGTTTTTTTATAGCATTGATATATCTACACTACAAAATCAAATGGATTATTAAATATTAAGTATACCGACGTTGATCCAAGTCTAAGGACTTGATTGCAGGGTAAATAATATTGGTGATCACTTATTTTTTATTTTGTTCAATTTCGGTCACTAATTTTGAAAAAGTTTGATTTTGGTCATTTTAATTTTCAATCTTATGTTAACCACTAAGTCGTAACTTCTATTACTTTGATGATGTGATATGTTAGTAAAGTGGTTACTTAATTCCTAAATTTTAGATAGAATAGTAATTTGATCTTAAACTTTACATAAAATATTAATTTAACTCTAAATTTTATATAAAATATCAATTTGATCCATGAATCCAATCAAAATTTTCTCACTAGCCGTCACTCATCACTGTCGTCCGTCATCATCGATTTCCAACGCTCGATCAATTTCATGTCGAAGTCCTCCAACACATCCTTACTCATCATTTACACTTTTTGTCATCATTCATCAACTCAACTGTCAACATACAAGATAATCTGACAATCTAATAAGAAAATGAGATAAATCCATGATTATTGTAATATCACTTACTAGTAGCCATCATCTCCCCTTCTTTAAAGTCATCATACAACACCGATGATAAAATATCCATAAGAATACTCTTTTTTTTCTTTAGGAACTCTTTTATCTTTCTCTCTTGAGATTTCCCTCGACCCCTTGAGGGGGGAATTTTCTTGAGTATTCTTCCTAACTATTAGTAGGATAATTACTCTTTTAATAAGTTAATTTAAAAATGTATTTGTTATCTTTTTAATTTTGAATATTAAAAGATAATTATATATTTTTGTATATTTTAAATTAAAATAATATTTGTTTAAGTTTTAATAGTAAAAGAAGTTTACTACTTGACCATTGCAAATTAAATATATTATTTAATTTGAATATTAGTATGATAATTACTATTTGAATATGTCAATTTAAAAAGGTATTTGTTATATTGTTGTCTCGCTTCTTGTTTGCTCATTCAACCCTAAAACTTTATGTCTCGCTTTGCTTTCAATTTTCTCCCGATGTATTAATTTCGAAATGTATTCAATCTTGTGTTTTTGGCTAGAGGTTTGATTTTAGGATAGTATTCAATCGGTTTTTCTAGGAGAGTTTGTCAATCGTGTTTTTGGGGTTTGTTTCTCAATTGTGATTTTGGGATTTTGTTTCTCAATCATAATTTTGGGAGAGAAATCAATCACCTTCGTGTTTTTTAGGGCTTAAGAAAATTGGGGATTTTTCCTCGCCCGTGTAATTGTTAACTTAAAAAAAGAATTTTTTGGGTTATTGCCACTTCAGCAAGTTTACATGTCAGCAAAAAAATCTTTGGTGGCAATAGCTAGCGTCCACGTCAATTGAAACTAACGGTCCCGTTAGTCAACATGATCAAAGGCATACATTGATGAAATTAAACAACTTCAATTATCAAATTGATGCGAAAATACGTTAGGGGTTAGATTGATTAATTTGATCTACTACAGGGGCAACTCTAACTCTTAAGCCTAAAGATAATTATATAGTTTTGTATATTTCAAATTAAAGTAATATATGTTTAAGTTTTAATAGTAAAAGGATTTTACCTTTTGACCATTGCAAATTAAATATATTATTTAATTTAAATATTAATAGGATAATTACTCTTTTAATAAGCCAATTTAAAAAGGTATTTATTACTTTTTTTTTAACTTTGAATATTAAAGATAATTATATACTTTTGTATATTTCAAATTAAAATAATATATATTTAAGTTTGAATGGTAAAAGGAATTTTATCTTTTGAATATTTCAAATTAAAAAATATTATTATCTGTTTAAAGTTGAATATTAAAATATATTTGGTTGAATTAAATCTCTCTTGAAAATCTCCTATAAATAGGGAACAAACTTGTTAGATTTTTCACAACTCAGGATGGTTTGTTATATATGTAGATGTGTTATTGTAGCTGATCATAAGTTGTTGTATCATAGGAGACAGATGACCAACGAACTCAAGCACCAAAGGAGTGGCAAAAAATCTGTCATAAGGAAACTGTGTAGCGACAAGCCTCAACTGATTCTGATCTCACATGATCAAATAAAAAGAGTATTTTATCTTCTTTTTTATTTTCCTTATTTTTTAAAAGAATTTAATTTATTCTTTTGTTTTCTTAGGTTTTGAATTTCGTCTCGGATTGTTACTTCGGTTAATAATCTTAAGACAATAAACTCGTTCTATCACTTTCATCCATTTAATTTTATAATGATATTTATTCATTATTAATTTTCTATATCATTCTCAGATTAATTTTGCAAGTTTTCCAAAAAATACCTAAGCAAAAGAGAAAAGTCATTTAAAGAAGTCACAAATATTGTTATCAACTTTTTAATTGAAAAACTAAATTAAACTCGTCTCTAAAATGACATAGATTATACTTTCATAAACTTATTAATGGAAACAAAATGAATCAAAAGTCGGCTAAATGATATATTTTTTATCATTATAAACATATTTAAAATAATAAAGATAATATATATATTTTTTATACAAGTATCTAATTTTATTCAAAATGGAAAATATTTCAATTTGCAATAAAGGTTTATGATTACAATCGTAAACTAAGCACATAATTAGAAAAAATTTCAATAATATTTGAAATAAAACTAACAACTTAAGATCACATAAGGATAATACAAGATTAAATCTAACCAAGAAACTCGAACAAAGATAGATATCCACCGACAAACCGTAAATCAGACTCGAGTGATGTGAAAAGCTATCCACGGACGTAAATCGTGTATCCAAATCCAGTTTGAGGGTCAAAAGTAGGAAAAATCAACAAGATATTAAACATGTGTCATCTTGATCAGTCGTGATAGTGTCAAATTAACCCTTACAAAAAAGTTAAATAAAAAACGGCCAAAAGAATCAAAAAACATGCCAAAAAACATAAGAAAATATGACATAAAGGTATATGAAAACGTGCAACACATGCAGACTTATCGAAAATCAAATAACAAAAGAAAATAAATATACAATATAAAAAAATAATATAGATTACTGACAGTCGACAACCAACATTAAAATTAATGTCACCGCCGATCAACAAAGATAAAAAAGAAAATAGATGAATGGCATCTATAAGAGAAAATTAGGTTTTGTTTTAAAGCTAAGGCAAATAATAATTTAATAAAGATAAGATAATTATGTTTGTTAAATTGATTGATTCTGAATTTCAGTAATTTGTATATACGAACGAAACCATACTAATCAAAATTAGAAATAATTTAATTAAAAAACTGGAGGTAATTGTAATCGATAATTAATTTACCTGAATTTATTTACTATAAGACGACAAAAATGTAGATGGGGAAAGGGCATTGCATGAAATACACGTGTTCTTTTTTTCTGATTGGCTTGAACAGTCGCTGCTCGGTAACAACTAACAACCGCATCCCATTCGTCGCTTCGCGTTGTTTTTCTTTCCTTTTTATTTAAGGAACGAAATACTTATTTAATACATCGTATTATAATAGAAGGGTAAATTTTCATTTATATTCACACAATTTTGAGGTTGTTATTATTTTCGTTACTCAACTAAAAAACACTTTCAAAATTAGGATAAAATATATAAATAGTCCCCAAACTTTTAAGATACCTGCATTTTGGTCATTCAACTTTTGAAACTTATAATATATTCATCGAACTTTTAATTCGTTTTCAATAAGGCCCATGTCATTACATCCGTTAGTTTTTGTTGTTGTAGCATTTAACTCCCCTTTGTCTCTTCCTCCTCATATGTGGCACACTACTAAATATTGTCGTTGATTTTAGTTGTGTTTGTGTAACTTGTTTTGATAAGATGACTATCTGGAATGTAGATTAAGAGGGAGATTAAAATACTGTAGAATCTTTGTGGAGGGATAAATATTGTGAAAATTGTTGGATATAGTTAGGGATCCGCAATCAAAACTACCAAAACACGTAAATTCGAAACTACTTTCCTTTACAAAGGTGGGTGATGATGTTTATGCAGATGGCTTCCACCCAATAAATGTTATTGTTAGTTGAAGGAGGAGGAGGAGGACGAGGGAGTTAATGAGAGTTAAGTGACACGTCAACAAAAACTAACGGGAGGTAACCATAGGAATCTTACTGAAAACGAACTAAAAGTTCAATGACTGTATTGCATTTTTTTAAAATTGGGTGACTAAAATGCAAGCGTTCTAAGAATTCGGGGACTATTTATATATTTTACCCTTCAATTAAATTACTGATATTGAATTTATTGAGAAATTTTAGTGATAGAAGTGAATGATTTTTTTAAAGGTCTTGAGTTGAAAGCTTTTAATTTAAGCCGTCCCTTAAATTATTGGAAATGCAAGTCCCTTTCCAAATCCAAAGAGATCTTTATGCGACTATCATATGTGGTTGAGTGGCAAAACAATTAATCAATATTCTATTATTATAATTGAAGAGAAGACGGTGTATAAACCAGTGTGATTCACATTTATATATATTTGTACATTAAATGACAAACCTCCATGGCCCCACCAAGAATGGACATGGCACATGATGGAGTGGCAAAACTTTCAGCACACAAGCGGAGATCTTATTTATCGACATTAATTTCATCATCGTTCAGTACCCACTATTTTATGCAGAACAATAATAGTATATTGGTATTTTTTCAGACATGGTTGAGTGGCTTTGCTCATTGCTTAAACTAGCTTTGGTCAGACCATTCTACTCGGTTTGTATCAGTAAATGTCTTTTTTTTTAATTATCTCATTCAAATTGTTTCGTTAGAAAATTCAATAAATAATAACACTTATTAAATAAACATTTCGGTGATCGGATTGATTCTCAACATGCACTTTCAAGCCACCTGAAAATCAAAGTTCGCTACATAAATTGCTTGGTAAATAGAGTTGCACACTCGCCGACGCAGTGGGCACGGTAGATATACAGGGATGGGT